ACAGTACTTGTCTTGTTTTTTTAATTCATTCTTACTTTTCAATTCTGTCTCCATCTTCTTTCCCTTCTTCTTTCAGTCAGTTTGTTGACTTTCTTTCACTTGTTCCATCTCCCTTTCAATCTCTTCTTTATCCCTATCTGGTGTTTTTTTTTCTTCCTTTTTTTGATGTTTTTTTTTTTGCCCTGTTTTTTTTTTTTCCTTTTTTGTTGATGTTTTTTTTACTCATTCATTTTTTTTTATTTCTTTCGTACTACTTCCGCTGATAACCAACAGTGCGGGCTCTCTCTATAAACCATATCGGGATCCCTGTGGTAGATCCCTCAAACCAAATGCAAAATGGCGGAAAGATCCAATGCAGGGATACAGCTAACATTCGCTTTAGTAGCTCTCATAGCAGCCATTTTATACAGTGGAAAAGCTCAATTCTTGCTGAACAAACTTAATAAAATTGTTCATGGAAAACATGGATGTGCTCCGATAGCCGATCTTGGTCAGGYCACTTTACATTATTTTGGCGTTCGTGGCAAAGCCGAAGGTATTCGCTTTATACTTGAAGATAACCAGGTTCCGTATGCAGAAACGAACTTTACMAAGGAAGATTGGCCCCTTATAAAAGAAAAGGGAATAAGTACAGGGCTCTTTACATTTGGWCAGGGTAAGTTTTGGATYCAAAATACATGGATTAATTAAGTTTACAAAATATACAAGTCAAAAGAGTATAAATTCTRGACTAGATTTTGTATTAAGCTTAAGCTCTACTTATAATTGGACAGAGACAGGTGAAAGATGCGAGGTGGAGAAAKCCCATTGGTTGCAAGCTAATTAAAATTATAGGTTAAAAATAAGTTCTTTGTCATTATAATATCATGTTTCTTAAAATGCTTTTCTTTTGTCTAAATATTTTTGTGAATTTTTTTTAAGATTTTTTTCTTATAAATCTTTGGATTCTTGCAGTTTTTATATATTCAATTTTGTTTTTACAATTTTTGGCTCATAGTTCCTGCAATAACGACTACAAGTGGACTTCAACTTGTTCAAAGTAGAGGTAAAAAATATGAGCTTTTTATTTCTTCTATTTCTCATACTTTCACTCTTATTTTGTTATTCCTTTCTTTTCTGTTTTCCTTTTTTCATTAGTTTTAATTCCAATGTTCTCCTATTTACATTCTTTTCCTACATTCCTTTAATGCTCCATATTTCAATGAATTTGAACAAAATTAGGGTCTTATAAATATTTGTACTATTGTAATCCAAATACCATGACATTCTTATAATTTGTCTTATAGCCATAATGCACCATCTTGGGCGTTCACTTGGTTTGGACTGTGATTGTCAAGACTTGCATACTTGTGAGGTTTTAGTGCAAGGAGCAGGTACTATAGAGAATGCTACAACTTTGWCATACAGGGCTCAAAATAACAGYCAGACATATGCAGGTCAAGGTGTCCTTCCAAATTCATTTTTTGAAGTTCATGTCGAGTTTTGAAAGGACAAAAACTTTATACTTATTATTTTCTTTTAATTCATAGGTAATTGTATTCAGAAAGATCGACAAGCATTTTAGTGGCTTGCAAAAGATTTATTTTGCAAATTGAGAATTGATTGTTTTTTATTCAAGTCTAAAAATGTGGCAGGTCAATTTGTCCTTTCAAAACCTGATTTGGCCGGTCATCTAGGGAATTTGGAAGAACATTGTCCTTTGAACGGCCGTTATTTCGAGCCCTGGACATACAGTATTACATACATGTAGAAGACCAGTGGGTTCCTGTTAGTCAGCCTACAACATAATTTTCTCTGGTTTAGAAATAATGACAAATTGAGTTGTCTTTAGRTTATTGCTTGCTTTGTTTTGTCTATGCTAATCAGATTTCCATGAAAATTGCTATAAGAAGACTATTTTTTCCAATATTGTTTATGTTTTTATACAACAGCCTGATTTATATCATTTCAAAAATTATATTTTTTTGCAGATGACCTTCGAAATAAACTCGGAGCAGTYCTCTATAGTTCATCCTTTTCTTCAAAAACCAGAGACAAGCACATCAACGATGTTGTCATCCCCTGGCTGAAGTACTTTGAAAGGTTATCACCAGTATCAAAAGAACAGTCMGCTTCAGATTCTGAGAAAAMGWCTGASGATGAAGGTGCTCAAGGAGAAGTATACTGGGTTGGAGATCGTAGAACCTGGATTGATTATGTTGTATTTGAGCTTCTAGATAGCCATGTTGAATTTGGAAAGCTTACATTTAAAGAAACTGCCCCAAAAATTGATGTATTAGAAAGCTTGCCTAACTTGAAGTTTTTTTATGAGTCTTTCGGAAGTAGGGCTAACTTACAACGGTATCTGAATGCTAAGCATAGATATCCATTCTGGAGGTTTGATTAGATTGATTTTCCATCTTCTGCACACAAAAAAGAAATGTATTAACACAAAAACCTTCATTATTTGTGTTTGTTGATAAAGAACAAAAGACTAGATAGTCTGCTATGGAACGGTTTTACTTTAAGATGACAACTTAAATTCATTTTAACTATTAGTATTTATTGAAAAAATCACTTTCACAGTTGGATTAGCATGAGTGGGATTTTAAATGTGGGCTTCCTGTGGTAAGATAAAAGAAAAGCTGGTATCAAGTGAACACAGTTAATATTTCAAAAATGATTTCAAATTGTTGGGCTAAATTTATGTGGTATGTATACAATATTTCATTGCCAAATAACAGAAATAAGCACAACTAGGATTGAAATAATGCAAACCAAAGTGAATCATAAGAATATGGTGTTTTTAAAACACTTCATCACAAGTAATCTGGTTCATTATAGACAATTGATTAAATCAAATTTGAAGAGAGAGGGGAGTTTGTGTTATCTATTACAATGTATCTATATTTTCGATATACTTTCAAACATAAACATAAAGGCTCGTAAGGGATGCCCCTTAACCATAGACCTTTAAGTTTAACGGTCATTAGTGACCTACCTTTGCATGTTTGCATGCGTCTTGTGAAGTTATTGACATTTTTTGCATTTTGAAATTATTGTCCAGACAATACATTAGTTTGCAGTCTGTATGAATATCTATGAATTGGACACTATGCTATTAAAATAAACATWTGCACACAGTCTGTAGTTTTTTGTATGAACTTCAGATTTCTAACTCAAACAACAGACATTGCCACATGTAAGAGAATCCCGAATCCAATAAAAAAATAGCTTGGAATCCTGAAACCGTTTCCTGGAATCCGGAATCCAAATATTTGGAATCCAGAATCCAGCAAAAACTTTGGAATCCAAAAACAAAAATTCTTTGGAATCCGGAATCCAGAATCCAGCGCGTGGAGTCCAGAATCTCCTATTTCTCTGGATTCTGTCTGGCGACAGACAACCTAGAGTATGGATCCAGGGGGATTATTAGGGTTGCTAGCCGACCCCCTTTTCTGGGTTCAAAAATATATGATTGAAATTATGATTAAATATATATATATAAATGAAATCCGAATGGACTCATTCTGAAAAATAACTAAAGCAGTGTTCAGCATTTTCCGCAGCCCTTATTCTTTTAGTAAGGCACCCTATTTGTAACGTTCTTGATGCGCCACAGTTAAACGGCCTGTTTTGAGAGTGATATGTTTATTGTTCCCAGGAAAGGTTATTTCAGTTATTCCTAACACTATGGCCATGTGCAAAGCATGATGGGAGAGGAAGCACTTTTTACAGCCTCTTATAAAACAGTTTTGTTCGGCTGCACGCAGGCTAGCGATTTAACCTAAAAGTTATTTTAGATTTTCTTCGTAGAAACTGAACAACAACTACTATTTCTGCAAAGAGAAAAGGCAAAAAGGACTATTAGGAAGTTAAGGATCATTATTGGGAACAGGAAAATTGAGGGGACAACAATAGCTCTTATTCACGATGTCCGCCATTTTTGAAAGTGCGAAATGAATGTTGGGTAATATTTCTGTCACGTGGTACTCCAGGGGGCAAAGATTCAAAATGGCGGCCAARTCAGAATGTAGTGATAAGAGTCTAAACGACTTTATGAAGTGGAAAGTAGATGATTTAAAAGCGTTTTTGAAAGAGCGAGGAGTAGTTATAAATGGAAGAAAAGCTGAACTTGCTGAAAAAGTATATTTTGCGTCGAAATTAAAGTTAGAAGCTCTAAAGAAAAAGGAAGAAGTGGAAATCGATAACAAAGTTCGACKGTGTGAAAAACTGACTATCGACTGTGGTATAAAACTCCCATTTCCTGCTAATTTGACTATTGGATGGGAAAGAGGAAGTCAAAACTTCCCAGATGTACTAGAGAAAGACGTCSAGAACTACATGCAGAAGTCTTTTAAAGCAATGAAACAGGGACAGAGTTTGCTAACTTCCAACCACATTCAYGATGTGATGTTTCACCATATAAGTACGAATGTAAAATATTGTTTTGTACGTGGATGTTGTGTTCCAGAGGAAAAAACCAGTAACGAGTCTTACTCCCTTTGGGTTTGTGTACACAAGGAAAGTGGAGAGGTGCTTACTGCTGAATGTACCTGTTTTGCAGGGTAGGTTTATTGTTACTACAGCTTATGAACTTACATTTTCTATGTTGGTCGTCTTATAATATTTTATTGATTTTTCCAGGTTGTTTTTTTTTTACTACGATTACCTTCGATATATTTTCCATGTTTTTTTTTTCTTTGACAAGTTTATCTTATTTTCACGAAATTTAATTTAATTGTTTATAATGTAAGACAAAACTACCTCAACTTACATATAGCTGATTCCTTGAATTTCTTTTAAATTTCAGTCTGAGTGAGAAATGCAAACATGTTGCTGCTTTGTTATTGTATATTGAGAAAGAAGTGCAACTTGGAAASAACAAAACCTGTACATSTAAGCCTCAGGGATGGCATAAGCCCTCTACTTCTAGAAAAAGATACAGTGCAACAAGAATGGCAAACATTGGTATAAAGAAAGCAAAGACAGGGGATAAATTATTCCYTGCTGAAGAGAAACAAAGAGTCAGTAGAAGTACSTTTGATCCTAGAGCTTTACATCAACGAACACCTATGACCTGGACTCAACAGGACTGGACAAGGTTGGAGGATGCTACTAATGRTAACTGTGGTATTCTTTTGTATAAGAGCATTAAAAATGCAAAGGAATACAGTTCACCCGATATGAGGTTTGTGACAAATGAAATTGTAATTAATACTACAGAACATATCACAGAGCCTCTCACATTACCTGATATCGCAGTATCTGTTAATGAAAGAATGAGAGGACAACATATAAATGTCAGATGTCAAATGTTTGTGAGAGAGTTAACTTGTACAACAATCCAGTCAACTGTTCTTTCACAAAAAACATTAGGCCAAACAAACAATGATATTTGGTCGAAACATAGACTTGGCAGAATAACGTCTTCAAAAGCAGGTGCTGTACTGACTAAANCGAACAAACCTTCGTATTCTTTGTGACAAGAAAATCTTTTCTGTTTATCAGCCGTGACCACTTGTTATATAAAGTCGGATTAGGGCAACGGTAAAAGCTTATGTTTCTTCCCTCATGTTTCTTCACGTACCTTGACAATAAAAAAGCTAAAATAAAAAAAACTGAACAGAAAATTCAAAGTGCTTCGCGCCACATTCAATGGCATTTCGCGCCATTTACCTTTGAGGATAACGTCTGTCGTTTTATTACAACCAAAAACTGAACATCGATCACCTCCAGCCATCGTGTGTGATTCTTAGGAGAATCAGCCAGTATTTGTGTTAAAAATTATCAAAAAAAGTTTAGAAATCCGACCAAAATTATCCAAGTTGTTCGAATCTTCAATGTTTTCAGTTTGATAGTCTCAGCTGTTTGCCCCCTGGCGTATCACGTGACACAAATATTACCCAACATTCATTTCGCACTTTCAAAAATGGCGGACATCGTGAATAAGAGCTATTCTCGTCATGCTTGTAGTTGTTCAAAATCCGGCTCATAATATTTATATAGATAATGTGTCATACAGCCTTTTGCACAAATTATGAGAATTGTCGAAATATCTAAATATCTTAATATCGAGTACATGATGGGTAATCCCGCGCGATGCCCTTAGTCCCTTGTCTTTGTAGTTTAGTTTTTTTTGGCAGCAGACTTATCCATAGTTCTGAACATTTTCTTGATGTCAACAATGAATTATTCTAGCAAACCCGCGTGTTCCGGACAATATATGGATATGGATATTATGATATTTAGATATTTAGACAATTCTCATAATTTTTGCAAAGGGCTGTATATACATTATCTGTAACTATAAAAATATCTAAGGTTTTTCTATAAACTACTAGATTTTTGCAGAACTTCAAAGTATCCTTTTTCAGCTTTCATTTTGTAATGTGATAAAAATGCGCAGTCAATGTGGCAAAGGGTTAATTACGAGAAAGTTATCCCTCCAAATATTAAAGGACACTAAAAGGTTCTTTGGCATAGTCATGCAAACGATCGATCCAAAAGTCCAGTATAGAAGATTATCCCATTAATCGAACCATGGAAAATAAATTGGACATTTTGAACATGGTTGAGCAAGCACAAAACGAGATAGACGCAACTGGAACTCAAGTATTTCAGCTAGAGACTTGGTAATTCACGCAGTGTTTCGACAGTGTTATAGACAGAGCTCTTACGGCTTATATTCTACCACATTTTAAGAGGTAAGTTGGAAGAAATGCTTTGTCATTATGTTAAACAAAGCGGCTATGTACCTTTTATATAAAATCAGTCGATTCGTCTCTATGTAGTATTTAATTTCATTGTTACAAAACCACAATGAGCCTGTTTCATACATTTCGAATATTTAGTCAATAACGTACCATTTTAT